CCCTGGTGACCAGCCTTGTCCACAGGGCTCAGTCACCAGGGCACGGCCCGGGGCAGCTAGAGCCAGGCGGGGTGGCAGGGGACGGGACGGGGGGTGAATTCGCAGCTCCCCGAGGCTGGGGGGGGGGCCCCTCGCCAGGAGGGGTCTGTCACCTAGGTGCTCTAGAGTACCTGGAGTGAGGTTCTTCCCAGAGGTTCACAACAGCGCGCGCAGAGGCCAGCTGCACGGCCACCGGTTTAAACAGCAACAGCAACGACAAAATAAATAAAAAGTCAACCCCTCCTACTAAGATGCGAATGAAATACGGATTTCTTCAGGTCTCGGCCTGGTTCGGAACCCTCTAAAAACTGAAGCAAACATTTAAAAGGGGGCTTCTTAACTTTCAAAGTGATGCGGCAATGGGGGTGGGGAAGAGATCACATGCCTGCTGCCCATCGCACCCAGGGTCAGGACAGCACAAAGACCCCCGTTTAAAGTGCCGACCATACAAAAGAACAAGATGGAGGAGCAGCATCCTTCTCCCCCTTTTTCCATCACAATTTCCAAATGAAACCCATCTCCTTCACCAAGTCACAACTAAAGCCTATTCTTTTGGACATTCACTCCATTTATACTGGTTTAAAAAAAAAAAGTTAGTATAAAAGTTACACTGAAATTTCCAACTCTTTGCAACAGGCTTCCACCAGCTAAAGGTCCAAAAACTGGGAGAGCAGAGCCCACACGTTTTGCCTGGCCCCAGGACCGGAGCAGAGAACCAGCTCTGCTCTCCAGGGTCAGCCAGGCAGGAGCAGCCCTGCTCGCCAGCATCTGAAACCCAGGGGAAGCAGAGCCTTGCCAGTAAGGTCCTTTCACTTGTTTAAGCCACCTCTGAATCCCCCGAGAAGGGGAACAATGTGGGGAAGAACGTGTCCCCCCCCTCAGCTCCCCAGGAATAAAATATCAATGAAACAATAATGCAGTCAAAAAAACACCAGCCTGCTGGGTTTACAAAAAAAAAAAAAAATTCAATAAACTTCATGACAGAAAAAAGAAACAAAACCCACCCAAAGGAAACTAGCCAGCGGTTTGGGTCTGGAAACTGATTCACTTCTCACATGTTCAAAGTCCAACAAGGAACAGACGGCAGCGATGCCACAAGGAAAAAGTGCTCACGAGACGCAGCTTCCCGAGAGACGGCAGCGAGTCTGTGGGACAAGTGACCCCGCTGCCACCACCAGCGCCTTGTACGCCCATCGCCGGCCAGGGACCGCAGGGCATCGCTCGGGACGGACGTGCAGCGGGAGCTCTGCGTGGGACCTGGGAATAGGAACAGGCTACTCCTTCCTCCCTTGGGATCTGCTCTGGGTGCTCCAGCCCTGGCTGTGCTGCACCAGGCTGGATGACTAGGGCTGCTTTCGTATTCAAAACGAGGGGTAGGAGTGCTAAAAAGCTATGTAAAGACCAGGATCTGTGGAGCCAACAACAACATGGAGACAAGGAAGAGATACCCTATGAGACAGTTATCAAAAACGCAAGCAGTGATGGGCCAAGCCGCCGGAAGAGAAGCCAGAGATGTGCCCAGGGTGGCCACAGCTCTGTGACGGAGCAGGTTACACCTCTGCCAGCCTGGGATGATGAGACCAGCCTTCCAAAAAGCTCAACTGCTTCTCCTCTTGCTTCACTGGGAAGAGATTCCTCCCTCTGTCCCACTGGGGATTTCGTGATGTGCCAAGCTGCCAGCGCCTCGGAGCAGCTGACTCTTGCCCGTGGAAGCCCAGAAGAAAGCCCTGGGCTCCCAACTGCTCTGACAGTGACTGCCGTTGTTTTCATGGGAACAGAAGAAAAGCAGCAGAAGCGAGCTGGGCTTTGGCCTCTTTCCTGGCTTGTGTTTGCTCCTTTCAGGTCCTGGTTGGACCCGATTCCCCGCAGGGAGCAGCAGGTGCCGGGGAGCAGCCTGAGCCCCAGCTCTGCGCGGCCGTCCGCAGACCGCGCCGAACACCCACTGCTGCCCCAGCCTGCCTCTGCCCTCACCCTTGGAGGGTCAGACCAGGCCTGGCTGTCTGGCAGGGCCCCAGGGAGAGAGACAAGCAAGCAGCTCTCCCCTTCCTGCAGACACATATCACCCCAGGAACGGGCCAGGATGCTCACCAGCCTGCTAGCCAGTGCCAAACCTACTCAGAATGAATGAAGAAGAGATCACCACTGAAAAACACCAGCAAGCGTGAAAGAGTTTTTGTTCTAGACAGACTCAAAAGATCCAGTACTTTTTTCCCCTACATTAAACCAAACCAAGGTGTTGTCTGTACTCCCTTTCTTGTCCTAATCCAAATTTAATTCCCTTTGAAGGGAAAGGGTGAAAAAAATCCATATCCTATATGTGGTCTGTCCAAACACAGAAATAAACCTCGACTCAAAGAGAGAAGCTGTCGAAACACAGTGAGCAGCTGTATAGCTTTGCCACACTGCCTAGCACACTCCCCATGCAGCCATCCTTAGCTAGCAGGGAGAAAAAAAAAATATAAATCAAGGCCCTTTCATTCCTTGTTTCTCATTCTGCCAAATTCCCTTTTCCAGTAGCTCATCTGCATGCATTCTGGTCACAGAGATCACAATCTTTTTTTTTTTTTTTCCTTTAAAAAAGGCTTTACAATAACTAAGAATTTCAACAACATCGTGATCAGTTACAAGTCCTTCCTTGATGAACAGGACAAGTGTGTGCATGCACAGGTGTGTCAGAGGAGGGCACGTCCCCAGCCATCCCTGGGAGCGTGCCATTGCTCTGAGTGCACAGCCACCGAGTGCTACTACGGTACACCGGCAAAAGAGGAAAGGGCACTACGCAGAAATAGCTTATCGGCTGAGTCTCTGTACAGGAAGGGCTGCAAGCACGGCCTGCCGACGGCCCACAGCTGGAGTCTGCATAGATCCCCGTTCGCAATACAGCTGCCAGGAGAATCTGTAAGCAGGAGCTGAAAGGGACCGACATCTCTGCCACACACTGCAAGGAAAAGAGGCGGCTAAAGTGTCAAACAGCTGCAGAAACCAAACCCACAGAAGAGCTATTGAAAGATCAACCAGAAAACAGTTTGAAGCCTTGTCAGAAGAGTTCAATCACCACGGAGCAGGTAAGGTCGGCTGCTGTGGCTAACGCAGCAGCAAACGCCCATTCTACCTTTGAAGGCAGAGACAGTGGCTTCTCCCCAGCCCTGAAAGGAATCAGCTCAGCCATAGACCCCTGGTGACACGGCAAGAAAGGCCAACCAATACCATCTCCCTTACTGGCCCAGGCCAAGAGAAGCAATTGTTTATCGCCACCACAACGGAGAGACCACTTTAGTCAACTGCATCCTGCTCTGGCCCAGGGGAGGGCTGTCAGATAACCAGATTCTTTTCACAGTCCAAGAAGGGCAGTTCCCTTCCTGAGCCAAAAAAAAAGAGGCTTAGTATTCCAAGCTCCAGCAGCGCCTATTTGCTGAATCAGTCCAGCAAACAGGGATTACGCTCCTGGAACAGCAAGTAGAAGCCTCCTCCAGGTAAAATCTGGAACCTCTAAAGTGCTCCTGCTAATGCTCATAGGTGAACACTGCCCTTCCATGCCCAGCAGTGGAAGGGCGCAATGCAGTTAGTGGTATTACAAGCACTAGCATTTAACCGTTTGTCAACTCCCATCTGGGTTGCGGTAGTTTTCTGAAATGCACTTTTGGGAGATATTTCCTATGAGAAGAGGATGTCTGGGGATTTGAGGGCAGGGAGGTGAAGTGCACACCACAGCATACCTTGTTCAGTAAAACCGTTGCCTCGGAGGGTGATGTTTGCTTGCAGAGTCAATGGAATAAAGCATCCTGCAAGTGGCCATTTCACCGCGTCACCAACACACAGCTCTCGGTTTGGTTAGAACAGTTTCCCCCTCCCCCAGTGGTCTGAAGAGTTCACAGTGGTATAACCCAACGTTTTGGGGAGAAAGAAGCTGAGAAGTCCCCTATTGCAAGTGAATGGGTGGAGTGAGGGATGCAGATGAGCAACATCCTCTAGGACTAGGGACAAGCCCAACAGACACCTTGTGTCTCACCAGAAACGGGGGGAAGGCAGGCACTGGAATAACCGGGAAGCGGAGAAGGGTGATGCCAACACGGGGAAAGTGCATGATCTGGAGTGGTATCAGAGTAGTTCTGCAGTGCAAATGTACGGGGAGGGGCGTGAAGAAATCCCTTCTGGAATGCTGCATGAAGAGAGGTAAAGGTTGGCATCCATGTGGCAGCGGACCGGGTAGGGGACCTGTTTCCAGCAGCTCTACCCTGTTCTTCACATTTAGTGGGTTTCAATCACCACTGGCTCGTAAACTCCAGATGAGACCCTGGGGAAGCAGAGGGGAAGAAGATGAGAAAGCCAGATTTTCCTCAGTCACTTAGAGCAAGCAAGCTCTTCTCCAGAGCACTCTCCACTCACAAACATCGCCTTCTAACCCCACACAAAATACTGAAAATAACGAGTTAGTCTGGCAAGAAGTCAACCCTTATAACACAAAACAGACAGCTACGTGGCAAGCTACCACTAGAGCACTTGAAAGAGCTGAATTCTTCTAAAGGACAGAGGAAAAGGGGGAGCATCCTGCGCAAAGAGCTCGTGTTTCTGGCTTTGCTTTGCTCCCGGTTTTGTCACCAACTTGACACATCTGTGCATTACCATTATTGCCTTTTTTTTTTAACCTCAAAAGGCACTATAAAGGCTCAAATGCAACTAACCAAGACACTGTATTAAGAGCTATTGTGGCAAGAAAAAGTTTAATTTGTTCAGAAGACTTCCATAATAGAACAAGGCCTTGACGACGATGGAGGAGGCGGGGAAAAGGGACAATCAAGCAGGCTGCTGCAGTTTTGCTGCAGGCCAGCAGGAGGCAAAGCTCCCTGCCTTCAGTAGGGCGCAGGAGCAAGCAGGAACCAGCCTTGACCATTTTGTCCTTTTATTCTTTACTTCTGTTCTTGGATCTAACAACTAGGATCACATTATCCCTCTGAGCTCCTGCTGAGAACCGCACTTGTACTCCAGTGCAGCTGTAGCCTGTCACCAGAGGGATCCCAGGGGTGTTACTGTGCGAATAAAGCCACCACGTAGCACATGATGTTTAGAAATCTCTCCTGTAGCAAAAGGTGAAAGTTTCCTGGGTACAAAGAGCTAACTAATCTCTCCAGAACACCTCTGTCCACCAGCCTTTCAGGAAGCCTACCTGTTTCCCAGCTGAATACCACTCAGTGTAGTTGTTCCGTCTCTGCTCACAAACAACCTCAGGTTACTGTCTGCAGATAGAAAAGGAAGTAAGACATCAAAATCCAGAACTACCGATGGTTGCCAGGTGCTCTCCTCTCAGCCACATTACACAACAATCAGCACGGGAACAAGCCTGTTTCTGGGAATTCATGTGCACACTTTCTGGTGATCCCACAGTCACAGAGCCCCTGGGAACTCCCCTTCTTGCTCTGAAAGGGAGCCTCGTGTCCAAATCAACCACAGCATTACGCTTTGGAAGAGTAAATGCCGAGAAACGCAGTAAATTCAGCGATACTCCTCCAGCTGCTTCTTTTAAGGCAACTCCATTGATGCATGCTCTTGGTCAGCTTAAACGCGTCTGAACAGAGGAGACGTGGGGCCTCATGCCACTTTTGTAGGCTCACTGGAGGAGAAGCGCAGCCTGTTCTGCTGGTGAGAGGTGGCTACGTTCAGTCTAGTTTTAACCCATGCTGAGCGAGATGTAAATCCCCATGTGAGAAGAACGTTGCCATATGCGACGATTTAAGGTGACTAACTACAGAAGTACCAATAACAACCTCAGCTCAGGTTTAAAACTTACTGAAAAATCTCGACTAGATGAAAAAGACTGATTTCTAGGCTAAATCGGAAAATTAAAACAAATGCAGTCATACTATTAGTTTTCTCTTAACAGATGCTGTGACTGCAATGGAGAAAACCCCTTCTTACGCTCTCAGACAGACCTGATCACCAGCACACTGTGACCTGTCTTTCTTAAAAACTTCTTGCAGAGATGTGCTGTCTCCCCTCCAGCTGTGCTCTGCTACTTTAATAAACACCCTTGGGCTGACCCTGGACCAAGGCCACTGGAGCAGTGCAGACAGCTGATGTAACCGATTTCCCTGCACTGAAGAATTGGTATTTTTTTCCCCATTCATCCTCTGTGTTTGAGCTGCTGTTCAACCTCTGCTGTAGCGTGCAGAACAGCAGTAAGCACTATTTGCTAACGGATGTGCAGCTCTCAAATCCACATGGTTTGTTTACCTACCATAGAAACACCCAGCAAGCACTGAAAGCACATTGCTGTCAAAAGGAGAAGGGAGTCCATGGCAGATCAGATCTCACTGTAAAAGCCTGGCAGCCTTGCCAAAGGAACAGCCAAGACATCCCCTTTGAGACTCCTCCTCTCACCTTCAGTATTGCTGACATCTGTGAAGTCCTGACTCTGCATTATTTTCTCCACTATATCATCAGCATCGATCCTGGTGTCATCCACTCGGGTTGGGTGACTCTCCACTGAATCCTTTTTCCTCCTGGGGAGAGAAAATAAAAGGAAAATTACTCAGCTTTTCAAGGCGCAGACTTTCATATACTCTCCTGCTTCTCTTGGCAATAGCTGCCTCCTCAGCAGCTACAATCCAATCTACCGCTGCATGGAGACAAAGGAGTAGATTCTGTCTCGCCTTCCCAGGGAGGCACTTTGCTCCACAGTTACTTACCGGGAGGGTCTATCCAGCAGAAGGGCTGGTCTCGGGGGGCGAGGCGGCTTCTCTAGTTTGTGGTCCCGCTCTCCCTCAGGACACTCCACCGTCATACTCAGCCCTCCAGACGCACTGCTGCTGGTGGAGGTATTGCGGCGATGGGTCAAGTCAGACATACTAGAGGAACGGGAGTGCTCCGTGCTGTAACCTGAAAACACACAGAGTGATTACAAACCACATCTTCTCCCCTTCCTGGCAGCACAGTTCACAGGCAGGACAGCTTCAGGCCAGCATTTCTGATCCCGCACACAGAGATTTAGACACACATCTGTGAGCATATCTGCAGAGACTGAACAGGTGACTGATATTACAGAGCAGGGTGAGAGAGACGGCTGCAAACCACTCTCACAAGAGCTCGTTGCAGGAAAGAAAAAGGGATGGGGCCAGTGCTGACAGAGCTGTGTGGATCAACAGTTACCAGAGATCTTGGACTGCTGGCTGGCGTAGCTGGAGTTCCGCGAGTGCCCTGAGTGGAAGACTTCCTCCGGGCTGGACAGGTTCTGATCTGGTTCCTCTGGGACACCTGCCAAGGAACAACAGGGCACTCCACTTACACCGTAACCAAGACAGCACGTTGCCCACTGGTCCCTTGGACCTTGGAGGCTGAGCTTGGGAGGCAAGATCAAGGAAAGGGCAAGTCTGTTGGCAGAGCCCTGCTGCACAGGCTAGCACAGAGCTTAGGAGCAGCTGGGGAGTAGGGAAGACAACAATGAGCTTCTCTGTCAAGCTTATGACTAATTCCAGCATCCAGCACCTGAACTGACAAGCATCTGTAGGGGCTTGAAGGATCTAAGAGGACAGGTAGTATCTGAAGCTATCCATAGTTAAAAGCATTAAGCTAAGACGAAGAAAGCATCGAATGGCCACTGGCAGTAAAGTATTAAAACCTCTGCTTGGGCGCTTCTCCTGTTACTACCGTTCCTCTTCTATTAGTTGTGAGAGACCCCATGCTATTTAAATCACATGCGAATTTCATACAGAAGCCTCAGCACAACCTCTGCTCCTTTCCTACTGGCCCCACTTGTCTCCTTTGCAACAAGCTTATCCAAAAGTGCATGAGTGTAACACGTTAGCCAGCTTTTTAAGAAGAGCACTTGCACACTGTGCTAAGTCACTGAGGTGATGAGACTGGAGTGCTATTTTGGTGCAGTGTATCTGCCTGTACATTTGGAGTGTGCTGGGAAGCAAAAAGGCTATGGGAAAATGCAGTGCCCTTGAAAATGGGCTCACACACAGCCCAAGAACTCTGCATCAGCAGCTGGAACAAGGCCATTAGACCTCAAACCAACCTCTAAAACCTTCAGAGGAACTTTTCTAGAAGATATGTCTGAGCAACAGAACAGCTGAGTGGAGAACAATATTGTCATTGAACACAATGGTAAGCAGGGATGAGTGCAATACATGAATTATTAAATCCCCAGCAAAAAGAACAAATTGCTTTATCTCTACTAACAGAAACACCTGAGAAAGATTCATGCTTCCTCTCCTCAGTTGCACTTAATAGGTGGTTTTGTTTTTCTCAGTTTTCTTAATGTTCAGAGGGGTGTGGATGGCTGCAGGAACACATGAAAAATTAAAGAATTTCTGTGCTTGCAACTGCTGGGAAAAACAAAAGAGCGTCCGGGCAGAGCCAAGCGTTGCATGGCTCCAGGACGGGCATTCATACCCGAGCTGAGAATGGCAGTTCTTGGCTTGGTCTGACGCAGAGAGCCAATTGTGGCTGAACTGCTGCTGCTGCTGCTGCTTGTGGTTCCCTCGCCCTTACAGGTCAGCTGCAGGGTAGAGTCCTGTCCCGGTATGGTGATGGATTTGGCGGTGGAAGGAGGCCTGTAATCAGAAGTGAAAGGGGTTACAAACTGCCGGGCACGGACCGGAATCACCCCACTGCAGCGGCAATTGCCACTCTGCTCTGCCAAGGGGGTCCCCCTGCCTGGTACTACCCTTTGTGGGTGGGGGGTGAAGACGGCAGCCCTCTGACTGTGGGCACAGCGTGACTCACGTTTTGGTTTCCTACACACAAGACTTGGATCTTCCCTACCTCGTACTGCATCTGGACTGCATTACTAGGAAGAGCAAGTTTTTTTGGCAAATTAAGGCAAAAAGGGACCGTTCAATCATTCACACAGGACAACAGGCTCAGAGCCTGCGCTGTCCTCCAGAAGACCATCCACAGCTGCCCTTTTGCCCCAGCTCATGTCCAGTGGCCAGCTGGCTTTACAAACAGGAGCCGGTTTGCTGTTGCCCAGCTCTCAGTTCCAGCACCATTTTGTTACACCTTTCTGGCTCAGGTCAAAAAGAAACCTTTTATCCTAACAACCCTGTCTCCCTATGAGACTACTTTTACAACGATCAAATAACCTTTCCATTTTTTAACTGACGATTAAACTCCTTTTCAGTGAGACTAAACTGTTTTTACAGCTGTCAAAATTATTTTTCTGGTTATTCTGCATGCTCCCAACATCCCTTTGTAAATGCTGACTGCAGGGCAGAGTGGCGAGTGCCTGGACCCCCTCCCTTCCTCCAGAAGCGTTTTTGGGTGGAAGCCACGGCATGCGCAGCGTGGCAAAGTGAATATTCCTGTTGAAGCCCTAACCTCCCTGTAGCCCAAAGTCTGAACTGGAACTAATGGATCATATTATGCTTTTTAAGTGAGGAGTGAGAAAGAAAAGCTTTTATTTGTCTCACTTGGAGCTCTGACGGAAGATGCTACATGAGAGGGCCTTTGCAGTATTTTGGGAGAAAGAATAAAGCGCTGAGAATATTTTATATGGGCAACCAAACAGCTATAAAGGTTTCAGGAAGCCCACAGCATGCCTTCACCAGGAAAAAACCCTCCCTAATCATGTTATCAGTGATTTACATGCACGCAGGTACTTTGAGGACTTTGCTTTGCAGGTTAATAAGGCCTTTACAGCCTTAATCAAGCAAACTGTTCCTGCCGCGGCTGTCGGAGCAGCCCGTGGGTCTGTCAGCTCAGGCAAACAGCCTGCTCTGCCCTCCTGCACGACACCCAGGAGAAGGTTCCTCTGAGCGCTACAGAAAGTCAGCGCTTGGAAGTGATTTCCCACCACAGTTTAATTCCTCCCTAATCCCCAAATGAGGGCCATTTCTCAAAAGCTCTACTGATCAAGGACTATTGTACAGGAAAGCTTCCATTTTTAGACATTTGCACATCATCAACGTATTTAGAAAAAAATGGGAATGACTGCAAAAATCCTTTAAGACAATTAGGAGGTTTGACATTCAGACTGACCCTACTTACATTAAATGGATATATGCATATCCAATTCTGTATAATCTTCAGGCACTCTAACAGTGGAACTAATTTCACAGTGAAGGAGCAACAGGTATTTTTGTCAGACATATTATTGCCAAACATCCTAGTACCCTAGACTTAAAACATCTGTTACTGTTACAAAGTCATGATTTAAGATGTCCAAAAACTTTTTTATTGCATTTCCTTCGAAGTAGAAATTTTTTAGAATCAGATGACACTGCACTTGGGGTTTGAAAGCCTCGGAAAATGCTGAAATGCTATGCAAAGCCATTCACAAAATAAACCCACCAGAAATTATGCATCATTTTATAACAAGAATGCAAGCTAATTTATACACTTTAAGATAGCTCCTAAAATTAAACCTTTTAGCCCAGAATACCACTGCTACAGGAGATTGCCTCAAGGTAAAGCTTTCTTCTCTCATCCTGGGGAGTCAACACAAACTATTCCCGCCAGCCCATGGCAGTCCTGCTGCGCAGACGCACCCCGTACAGCAGACTACGGGAGGCTGGCTTGGACTGCACGGTCTTGCAACGCTGTACTGCAGTACAAGGCAGAGGTTGCCACAAGATTTGCTAGCTGATCCCCCAACAATTCTTTCAGCAACAAAACTGCTTCATAACTTAACTGTACTTATTCTTTCCTGTTAAGCTGCATTACTTACAAAAAAAAAAAGTACATGATTGCAACTTCTCTGCTAATTAATACAAATTGTGAGCCTGGGTCCCTGTAGAAGAAAAGGAGACTTAAAATGTTTCAGCCTTGCAGTTTTTTTGTTGCTGTTTCAATTCAAGATTTTTATCTGTATGGTATGTGCTGAAGCCTGTCCATTTCCAAGACTGTTTTCTTCACTGACCTTTCCCTTCTCAGAGGTCAGTGAAACCAGCCCCACAGCTATGAGAAATTCTGTCCTTCATGCAAGACATCAAGTTTGTCATCAGCGTCCCTTGGTTTCCAAAATCTGACACTAGCAGAAAAAATATTGCGCACAACCGATTACCAAGCTGGCAGAACCAGAGCAGAGAACAAACCAATTAACAGCACAGGCTGGCTACGCCATTCTGGCTGATTCAACAATCCAGACCATCAGCTTTTTCAAGCTTTCCTCTGTACTTCCCAATATCAAGGGCATCTTTTCCCCCTCCCCATCAATTTTATTCTGCAGAGAACTGTGAAAGAACCAGGTGTCCTGGTCTCCCCAGGACAGGGAGAGCACCCAGAAACTCACGTTTTGAAGCAGGGGTCCCCCGAGAGCAGGGACATTCCAATCGTGACCTGGAGAGGGGGGACAAGGCACATCGTTAGCCATGCTGCGGCGAGCTCCTCACTTCACAACAGCCAGGAGGTCAAGGGCTAGGTGTGAAGATCAGCAAGGCCTAGTTCCTTTCCAAAGGAAATCAGCTTCAGGGATTTAGCAAGGTATTTGCCTCCCTGCCCCAAATTACTGGCATCAGTGGCTCAGCAGGACACTGGCCTGGTCATGTTGACAATACACTTAGAACTTCCCCCCCTCCCGTTCGTGTTTTCTTTGATGATAAATAATGTTACTGAGGGTCATCACTTGGCCAAAGGGATGCCAAGATATCAAAGGGCAACTCTGAAGATGGGAAGCTTCCCAAGTCAGACTAGCAGCACGACAGCAAAATCCTGTCTCTGTAGCTGACATGACCATCTCTCAGGTCTAGCACTGCACTCTGGCTGTGATCTTTCCAAATTCAGTAGCAGGATTTCCACTGTAGCAGCACCAGCTGCCGTACCTTTAGGATGGAGTTGTCCTGTCGGGTGTTCTTCGTATCATAACCTTCCAGCAAGCAGCAACGGACAGTGGATCCAGAGCCCGCAAATTCTGCCAGATTTAGATCAGCAAAGCCCAGCTGTAGCCAGAAAACAATGGAGGGGAAGGGGAGAGAACAAAAATCACTCCATAGTGTCACGCAGACCAAAGGAAGAGAGCGTGTCTGCGAGCGAGGGCAGGAACAGGAGCCGGTACACACACAGTCGCGGCTGTGAAGATCCCCCGCTCTCGAGGATGGGCAAGGTGACATTCCTAATGCCAAGCCAGGGGACATGTGGAGGCCTTCAGGAAGCCAGCCCCGCGTGGAGGAAGGACATACAGCAGTGGTGCTGGTCAGGACAGTGTTAACCAGCCTGTAGCCATTGCATAACCAAGGACATGGAAGGCACTAGGTCAACGATGTGGAAAAAACAGAATCACACATACACAAACATAATAAGGCACTCTTTGTATCGGGCCATCCCAGAATGCAGCGGAGCATGTGAACCAGGAGATGAAAGGATATTGTTACAGAGGAAAGTGACACTGTCCCGAAAAACAGCCCCGAGACTTTCGGCACAGCAAGCTGGCAGCCCGGAGCCACGCAGCAGTGCATGAGGCTCACCCAGCAGATGCAGCTGCTGGGCAGGGGAACTCCTGGAGCAAAGGTTCCTCAACGTCGCTAAGGTTTAACTCGCGAGTGGCATGTTTGACCAGCAGAATGCAAGAGAAATATGTGGAGAGACTTAGTTGCAAGCTCTCTAAACCTTCTCTAACAAAGGAGAAGCAAACAGGGAAGGTGACAGGCAAGTTCAAAGAGAGTACTGATGCCTCTAGAGTAAAATGAAGAGTACTTTTGTTTTTCTGCTCTGATTTCTGGTGTATTCATACAGTGTTTCAAAGAAAAAGTTACAGCTTCTTTTACACAGAGCTTTAGCAATATAAGTCAGTTGTGTCTCATCTAATCTGATCAGGAAGATATGCTGTACCCCATATTTGGCCAAACCATGCGAGCATGGAAAGTTTGTGTCACTTCAACACACAGATCAGCTTCCAGGAGAACATGGAGAAAAGGTGGAGAAGCAGCAGCTCAGACCTAGCTGTTGTTCTGTGCACTGCAGTACGCTTCTCCTGCCCTGGTGTTGACAGTCAGATGATATGGCTGAACCAGGAACCTCACACAGAAGCACCATCTTAAGGAAATGTGGTGCTCTGTCAACTGTGGAAGCCAACAGGGAGTTACAGCACAAACCACAGGCACTGCCATACCAACCCTAGCTCCCACTGTTCCAAATCAGAAGTCTAAACCACAGCCTGCACACGATGTATGATTCAGGGGAAGACAGCAGCAAGATTAGCATAGCTGCTTCCTCCATCCCTTTCTCAAAGGGGAAGAAGAGCCGATGGCAAAGGAGAAAAAAAGTGTGGGATAGAGCAGGAACCTTTCTTCAGAAAAAAAAAAAAAGGAAGGAAAGAAAGAACCTTTTTTCCTTTTTTTCTCCCTTCTTAAGAATTCCCTTAACTCCAGTGTTTCTCCAGCCCTTGCTGTAGATGTTCCTCTGTCTCTTCTAGCCAAGGACTGTGCTGCTTGCTAAATATTCACCGATAAGGAAAAACACAGTGAATTTTTATCTCTCAGAGATAAGCAGGACAAGAGAAAGCCACAGAGGGAGCCGCAATCCATCACTGTGACAAAACTGGAGGACAGAGGAGAAGTGGCATGACCACACCACAGAATGACATGGCACAGGAGTGGCCCAGACCCAGATCCTTCTTCCTCCACCACAGCACTACCTTCTCTGAGCAGATCGACTTTGGAGGACAGTGTGGGAGAACCCTTCAGCAACCCATACGGTCAGAAGCTCTTCTCAGGAAGCAGACTCCCAGTATATAGAGGAAGGATCCCTTAACAAAAGGATGTTTTCAGATGTAACCTTTCAGAATAGTTTCCTCAGTTTTCCAGCCAGCTGATGGTGTTTCTTCCAGCTTGGGGAAAGGGTTTCCGCTTTATCGGTCCTTCCTGTTGGCTTCTGCTCTATAACCCCTAACACTGAAGTGACATTAACGTCAAACCAAAAGGTGTGCGAGTCAATGGAAACTCTGGTCTTGAGCACAAACAGCTCCATCGCTCTCATTCCCCGCTGAAGGGGGACCAGGTAAAGAGGGCATTCACAAGTTGCATTTTCTTCTACATCTGCTGCCACAATTGGAGGAGTTTTCAGCTGAACGAGTATAGTTTAAAAAGGTGAGGACTCATTGTTTAGCATGGGAAAACAGCTGCATGAACACACACTACAGACTTCTGCTAGAAACGTTACGAATCCCAAGTCAGTCAGTTCTGCCACAAAGACAAGCCTGGAACAAGCCTGGTCCAGAGGGCAAGACTGCAAGGCTTCATCACCCTGTCTGGTGTGACATCCCTCGTCTCTGTGCTGCCAAACTGCTTGGGTCATCTTCTGTTGAATTCTAGAAGAACACGTCCGTCTTCTTCACAGAAGACCAAACAAGATATCAGCCCAAGAGATCACAAGTACTTGAGATTTGGTCTCCAGTTGCGGGCTGGAGCAACTAGGTCTCTTTCAAAGTGTCACTAAACGGAAGTGGAGACTAAGAGGGAAGTAGGTTAGAACATGGCCTGAAAAGAGCCCAGGTTAACTCCACCATGGAGACATGCCTTCAGGCTTCCTTTAATTCTGCATTTCCAAATACGGTGGGAAGCCTGAGGATGGACACTGGGAAGAACAGGCTGATGCATTTAGTTTGTCTCAGAGGCATGTCTCTTCCCCCAGCTATGCTGCTCTCCCTGGACAGGCAGCTCTGCAGAATGGAGGAATAACCCCCCCCTCCCAGTGCAAATTTAGTGAAAGATAAACTGATGCCCTTAGAGACTGTGTCCTAATTAGCACCAAAAAAGGAACGGTGTCGGCAGCAACATTGCCCTCTATCCTACAGCACAGAGACAGTTCACCCTTCAAAGCCTGTTGCCTCCGTGGTCTCAGAAAGGATATTGATTAGCAGAAATTCTTACAAGATAGTGCGTGACCCAAACATCTGTTTATTAGAAACTAGCAGCAGTGACTCATTTTCAAACAAACATGGTTTTGGGCTCTGCACGAGCTCAGCTTCTAAGCCAACATTGTCTCTTGATCTAGCACAAAAAGGAGAAGGGGGTGGCCCATTGTCTCTGCCACAGCACAGGCAAGAAAGTGGCGGGGAACAACCCAAAACATCCCTGCTGACCAGTTTGTGTTTTGCCTCAATGTCTCTTGTGCTTAGGAAGGCGGTGATTTCTGCTGTGGGCTTCTGCCCGCACTCGCGAGGCAGGGAGGTGCCTGCCCCAGCCACAGTTAGCTGCTGTGTTCCGGAGAACAGAACAGGAGTCTGTGTTTCTTTATTAGCAAGACATTGCCAGAAGCCAGAGAGTTCACATCTGACTCAGAACTTCCCCAAAGTCTGAGGACACGCAGATCATCTTCCCAACCCCCTTCTCAAATCCACAGCCAGTGCAATCTGGATCCTGTCCCAGCAAGTCCATTTTTTCAGGAAATCACTTAACTCAGGCTTAAGCTAAGAACTAATGATTGTCTGTCCAGATTGCTTCATGCAGCAGCCACTGGTTTCTACTGGGTGTCAAGCACTAACAGAAGACAAGACTGTCATCACTCTGCCACATTTGCCCTTTATGTGCTCTTACCTTTGAGTAGGTTTTTCCGCCCTTCAGCTCCTATAATGGGAGACAAAACAAACAGGAAAAGCAGATATTACATGTGCTGGGGAAATAAGGGGAAAGTCATTACTCAATCCTGGAATTTGCTCTCAGGATTTCACAAATCTCTGTCTCTCCAGGCTTACCACCACCCTGGTCGCTCCCACCCTCTGCCAAGCACCCTCGCTGGAGAGACAGACGATGTTCAGCTCGCTTCCTGGCCCGAACAACCTTTCCTTCCCACCGCTGTCCATGTAATTCTTCTTGCTGCCAAAAAAGCAGCTAATAACCAACACCAGTACGCTGGTGATTCTATCTGCCAGAAGCAGAAGCTAAGATGCTCACCTTACGGACAGATACTCGGCAGATGCAGGGGTCCAGGAGTCCTGTGGCTGGGTTGGCACTCATTTTACACACAAAGGTGAATTTCTTTTTCCAGCGGACACAGTTTTCCTGAACTTCCTCTCTATGAGAATGCAAAAAAAATTACAGTCTTCAAATCAAGGTATAAAGCCATATAAATCCCGACTATTAAGTATCTTTTTTAATGCCTGGCTGCCTGGCCTGCAAAGATCCTTTGCAACACAGTTTGGTCCACAGCACCTGAAACTGCACCATACCAAGGTGTTATGTTAGCATCAAGCTTCTCACTAGTCAATACAGGCAAAACCCACCCAGGTTACAGGGAAGACCAATCATTCCATCAACAGAGTTTGCCTTTAAAACCCTCACAAGCTCTCCAACATTTCCTGCTTAGCCGGTTTAGCTCATTCACCATCCGGCCGGGACAGATCCAACCTTCGTAACCGAACTGGGCTGAAGGTTCGCAAGCTCAGCTTCCTACAGTGTGCCTGTTTTGGACAGCTTCTGTACAGCAAACGCACTACGTGTCCTGGACAGCTCGTCCTTCCCAGGCAGCCATCCTGCTTCTTCTGCTGGGACTAAGCCAGTGAGGACGGCCAGCTCAAGGGAGGACAAAAATCACATGGAAATGCTCCTGGGTGCAGACGGACAGGACCACGGCAAGCAAACACTGTGCTTCAAATCATGGGGGGGGGTTTCAAACTGCAAGGCAGTCTCGGGCAGGGAGGAGGTGGTTTTGCTTGCACAGCTTCTGAGCAGCCTGCCCTCATCTCCAGGGCGAGCAGAGAAGCACACGGCTCTGCCGTAGCTCGAGCCCACAGGAGGAAGAGAAGAAGCCTTCCCGAGTTTGGAAATCGCTTCAGGTATAGCTCTGGCTTCTGCAGAGCCCTTGGAGGAAGCTGGATTTCACCCTCCAAAGGAGGCTGGTCCAAAGGAGCCTGGAAACGAGGTGTGTGGGTCCTTCCACAGGGCTCTGGTTCCCTCTGAGCCTCTGCAGGACCTGATCCGTTTATGGCTCAGAGCGTGGCCCTCAGCCAATTAAGTTCTCAAAGTAATGAGGCCTGGGGGGGAGGGTGAAGGAAGGGAAGGCACTTTTGACAGCTATGAGCTAGCAAGTTTGCATCTCGATCTTATCTCTCCTCTTAGCACAGGACAAAGGGGCAAGGGCACCTGATAAACTGTTTGCGTTAGCAGGCAAAGGGAGGCTTCTCACCGCCTGACCAGGGCACGGTGCGAGCCAGAGAGCTCGGTGGCAAAGGGGAGAACGATCGGTCTTGGCATTGCCTCAACTCTCCTGCAAAGCCCAGCAAGCCTTCTGTAACCGCGAGGCAAGCCCAACGGGACAGACACCAGGGACTGGATCCCGGCCCAGGAGGTCCCCGCTGCTCCTCTGAGCTCTTCTGCGGGACCCGAATGGGCTGGCCAGGGCAAACACAGAGAGCAGAAAAGGGGTAGCTGACAAATCACTGAAACCTGTAATCCTCTGTAATGCAGATAAGGGCTGATCATCCCTGTTTAAAACGTGGGAAAACAGAAGGCAGCAATTCCTTCAAGGCAGTGAACTTCAGCTCCTTCCACACAGAAGTACGGCTAGCTATTGAAGTCACTGAAAAATGAGACATCTAAGTGCCGACAATACCTTTGAATCTGGGATTAATTCAAGATGAAATCTGTTTCTTATTGCTCCCCTCAACTCACTGCAGCTCCTTCAGGCAGAAGAAACACTTCCAGAGGGATTAAAAAGGCTTTGCCTATCATAAAATATTCACCGAGCCAGTCAAATTAGGCAAGTTAAATTTCAGATGAGAGGTGCCTTAAACCTGACTTAACAGTAGGTATCTTGAATGATCCAAAGGAAGGAAAACTCATACAGATGCAAAACGGAATTCAACAGAATAGAAAAACGCTTGCAAACACACGTGCTTCAGAAATGCAAGGAAGGTACATAGGGAAAACAGCAAATAATTTAGCAGCATGAGCTGTCTTTAAAAATGAACCACTAATTTCTAGAGAGCAAGGCTAATGCTAGTTTTGCTAACGACATCAGAGCTTCAAGCTGAATCCTGGAAGGCAGCTACAAGGGAACGATCTTCAGATCAGGCAGGTACAACAGCCACTGCTGCAAACCTTGTTCACAAACGTGGCTCAAAGCTCTAACTCCTGTCACAAGCCCATATTTCAGTGACTAAGCTCCCGCACGCCTATCGCATGTGCCTGGCTCCCCGCAGCCGCTTCGTCAGTAGGATCAGCAAGAGCTGCCCTAGCACGCGAGTCTCCTTACTCGGGAGATCTTGCTCGTGTTACAATGCAGCTATGATTAAGCATCTGCTGGATGCTGCTAAGTCCAATGAAGGATAATTGCTTCAAACGGTTGCAAAAAGTACTGATTAGTAATAGAGCTCCTTCATAGCTAATTTGCTGTTAGCATAAGCTCTGCTAACAGACATTCTGCTTCTTACTAAGGGTGTATGTTGGCTTTCCAAAACTGCTGTAGATACCACACGGTGCAAGGGATTAGAGAAAGGATTTGGGGGGGTTATGTTACCCACAGCACCGCAAACACAAATCCGAGCTGCAGGTGCATGCGTAGCTTGGGGCTTTTTATGTCTTCAGAATAGTCTGCACAGGGTGGAAAGGAATTTATAAGATAAAATTCAGAGCTGCTTTCCAGTCACAAGTTTCACAACCATTCAACAATGACTTTCAACTTTCTTTTTCACTTTGAAGAGTGGCTTTTAAGGGTGGGGGCTGCGTCTGTATCGTTACACAAGCAAGCGACAGCACTATTGTTTCAAGCCAAACTCTAAAAAAAATCAGTTCCACATTTGCAGAAGATGGCATGTGGGGAAGTGATGGACTTTGTCTATTCACCTCCCACCAAGTCATCATTAGGCTGGTAATTGAGAGCACTAAAACAGGGGAAAAATGTGGACTCAGATGAGGAGCAGTTTTGTATTTAGCCCTAGAATATCCTCTGATGTACAATTAGAAACCATCACACAGAAACCAAAAACACACAAGCAGTGTGGCGAGGGCTGCACCAAGAGAGGCGTTTCCTTCCATCCTAATCACAAGGCACCTAAAAGCAAAGCAGAAACTAACAGCTTAAAACCAGAAGTGTCTAATTTTAAGTTTTACTCTGTATTTGGAGCACCAGAAATAGATCAGGCCAATGCCTGGTACTAGGTGCCAATTCAACGTGTCTTCAGAAGTTTAAATTTAAAAAAAGCCGTCTGTACCATTTTGCAGAAAGGCTCCCAGAAGGTTGAATCCCTGCCAAGCTAAGCTTTGCCCTCTTCTGACTCAAGACTTATTCAAAGCTGTGTAATTACTCTTCCAGACCTAAATATACCTCCTCAGAATAAACCGATGCAACCCTGCGGCAGCTTTTGTGAAAAGCAGAGTTCCAGAAAGAGCTTCTCGGGGTCTTCCAAGCCCAGAGTTCCTTGCCTACCTCCAGCTCCTTCACCAGCCAGAAGCGACAGTTTACAGCGTCCCTTGCCAGCGTCCTACCCCTTGAGTGAAGATTTACTAGAAAAAAAGATCAGTTAGAAGTGGTTTCACCACAACATGGTACGAATCCAAGTAACAGGAACGATGCACAGCAGCGACCCACTGGTTCATCTACTTTTACAGAAGTAGCAGCGTGCTCAGTGAAGCCACCAAGGCCTCTCTCGGTTCAGATCTCACGCACAGCCTTACTGCAGCTCTGGAGACAGGTCGGGGAACACACGATTAACAGATTTTAGAGAAGAGATGTTTACCAACTGAGATTTCAGTGCCACGGACAGAGTAGCACTGTTACAGAAAGCCACGAAGCTCACTATGAATGCAAGTTAGCTAAAGCAAACACTTCTAGAAAAAGGCCACGTATACGACCCGTGCTATCTTGGGCTACTGTGGGCCTCTGTCCACATGAAAACCTAGCTAACAAAACACCACAACAGAGATTAAAACTTCTATTTACAGACTCAAAGCCGCGTTGCGCCCAACTGGGTACCATGCTTCAAACACACAACCCGCTGAAACAGTTCTGCCTTTCTGGAACATTTAGAAAAGCAGATGCTTCACTCTTACTGTATGGCTGTAGTCACACATGAGAGTTAAAAGCACAAAACACCATGAAAAGGCCACAGGCTTAGCAGGAGGGCAACGACAACAAAAAATAGCTTTCTAATGCCAAACATTTCAGTAGAGCAATCTATCTCAGTCTGATGTTTCATGCATGGGAGCAGATGTGGGAAAACTTCAAGCTAAATGAGACTGTATATAGATAAGTGCACACAAAAAGCTTCTTATTCAGATCTCTTCCTCCTCATCTACACAAAGCAGGAGGGTGAGCTTTCCCGTTTCTGATGCCCGGTCCACGTGCTCACTGTCCCCCCTCTTGCAGATGTGGATCTGTGTCAGACTCTTCAAGCGGAACGAATCCTCCTGCCTGCTGGCAGCAGACGGTACCAAGCATCCTCCTCGCTGGCTCACCACTGAGCACAACATCACTGAAGCAGCATCTCGATCTGATAAGGCACAGGAAAGATAACACTGTTTTAAACAGGCCAAGGAGCCAAGTGTCAGCTCAGGTTCATTTAAGTGCGACGGATTGAAAAGCAGCCCTCGAAGAGGCCCTGACACACTCCAGCAGTGGGTCTTTTGGGGAGGAAGGTAACACACAACCTCAGCAACGCAGGTACAATCCCCTCAATCACAGAGGGAGGAAAAGGAAAAAAACCCAAAAAAACGTTATTTCAGCAGACTGCATCTGAAGGGTGTCTTCTACAGCATTTCTTTACACAGCTCTGCTTTGAGCTGCAGAGACTCACCATTAAGACAGTCTCACCTATTCCCCAGCACTTCTGAAGGCTTCGTTAGAGCAGGATCACTGACACTCCCTTAGCTTGGCAAAGGCTGGAACAATCCTGTGTTATGCTCCAGAGAAGACAGTTACTACTTTAACCAGGCTATCTAGGGCAAAGCTGTAGGAGAGACCTTTGATAAGGGCAAGGAAGAGTCCCTGAAAACCCATTTTAAAACTGGCAATCTAAGCTGCCCAGGTCAGTAACCAGTACTCACACCTCTCTGCTCACAGCATGCCAGAATTGACAC